TCCCTGAAAGTAAACCTGACAACTTTCCCAAGTTATGTTGATCATGGATTCAAAAACTGCTGCCTTTTTGCATTCTGATTGGCAAAATCAGTAAGTTCTCAAACTTGGTGGCAATTTAGCATCCCCTGTAGATCTTTAAAAATTACAGATCCCAAGGCACACCCCAGACCAAACTAAATCGCAATATATGAAGTTAGGACACAGGTATCGTGTGCTGAGATTCAGCCTAGAACGCATGCCAAGTTATCCAGTGTTTTTTGATGCTCTTCCCAAATGACTCCTACTGTGCAGAGAAATTTGAGTACTGTGGTAATTATTTGGCATATGTTATTTCATTTAGTTTCCCAAAATTCTATCATGAAGCAGGGAACGGTTTATTGCCATTTTCATACATGGAACTGAGGCCAAGAGAGAATAGCGTAACTTCTGAGGTTGCACAGCAGGTTGTAATAGTCGGACTGGATTTTTTTCTTTTTTTTTTTTTTTTGAGGCAGAGTCTTGCTCTGTCACCCAGGCTGGAGTGCCAGTGACGCGATGTCAGCTCACTGCAACCTCCCACCTCCCAGGTTCCAGAGAACCTCCTGCCTCAGCCTCCCCTTAGTAGCAAGAATCAAAATGTATGATAACGCCAAGGCGGGGCCGGAATTATAGACTCACGCCTATAATTCCAGCACTTTGGTAGGCCGAGGTGGGAAGATCGCTTGAGCCCAGGAGTTGGAGACCAGCCTGGGAAACACAGTGAACCCTCGTTCCAAAAAAAAATTTTTTTTTTAAATTAGCCGAGTGTGGTGGTGCGCGTCTGTAATCCCAGTTACTCGGGAGGCTTAGATGCGAGGATCACTTGAGCCTGGGAGTTTCAGGCTGCAGTGAGCCGTGATCTCCACCACTGCACTCCAGCCTCGGCGACAGAGCGAGACCCTGATCCCCTATCCCTCTTTCCCCGCAAAAAAACCACCAAGGTAGAGTAAGGGAAGTAAGTTTGAGGAATCAAAGGCCACCCGTTCCAGTGCATTGAGAAGGCAATGTTAATTCAGCGACTTAAAGTCAACGACCGTTTCATTAACCTGACCCCATAAATGGGATGTTTCTGGGACCTGTTTAAGTGCATAAGCGTTGTGTGAGCTGCTGGGATTCACAAATATAAACACGAACTGTGCCTCCCCACAAAGATCGCACAGTTTAGCAGGGAAAATCCTCCAAAGATAAAACACAAGTTAGAAAAAACATTTAAAAGGCTTGCGGCGTCCCAAGCGCGGGGTACCCTGGGCGGCCGCGAAGCGTGCGGGCGGCGCCGGGGACTCGGCCTCAGGTTTCCGCGGGCGCCCCGCATGCCTCCGCGGGACCCGCCCGCCCCGCTCCCAGCCCGCACCAAAGCCGCTCACACTGCAGGATGATCTCCTCGAACGCCTGTCTCTGCAGCCGGTCCCGGCGCCTCAGTTCCTCCGAGATGTGCCGCTTCCAGCGGGGGAAGTCAGCGGCGCGGAGGCCCGACGACATGTCGCTTCCTGTCCCGGCACCTCAGCGCCACCGATGCGAGCGGGGGCTGGCGGCCGCGGCCTGCAGCATGAGGCAACCAGCGGACGCGGGAAAGCCGGCAATCCCGGAGCTCACCTCCACACACTGACCGTCCCCGAGGCCATCCGGGACGGTCTTCCGGCTCCTGCCGGAAATGATTTTCCAGAGGGCCGGAAGACCCTCCCCCTCACCCGACGTATCACGCCGCACGGGCTCAGGGGCCGGTGCCTACGCAAGGCGCTCGCTAGTGACGCCAGCCTGTAGCCGGAAGCGTCAGAGGCAGAGAGGTGGCCGCTTGGGGGCGTCCGGGCCCCGCGCAAGGCACAGCTCCGGGCGGGAAGGAGGCGGGAAAGGGGCCGCTTCCTCCTAAGTGCTTACTTTTGCTGCTTTTCAACCCTTTTCGTGTTTTCTTTCTTGGCCTGTTTCCCCCAACATTTTTTTTTTAAATCGCAGTTTAGGAACAAATAGGGTTCCCTCCCTTCATAGTAGCTCTGTGACTGTGGATGATGGCAGCCTCCCTAAGCCTCAGTTGTCAGGTAATCTGTAAACTTGGGTCAGTAGTGATACCTACCTCAGAAGGTTGTCACGAATAGTAAAAAGAAAAACCCATGTAATGCAGTCAGCACTGTGCTTGGCACAGGGGAAGCCTAAGTTTACAAAGACACTCGGTGTCTTCCCAAGGCCTACCCTGACAGCAGGAGCGTTGCCATCTTGGATAACTGCCACCATTTTAAGTTCCCCTTGATTAAAAAGCCACCTAAATCCAACCCAAAAACATGAGCCTAATGGTAATGTCCGCATAACCAGAAACATTCCAACCCTATGATAAACCCCCTTCCAACCAGAAACATGCCAACCAGGAGATAGCCTCCCCTCTGATCAGAGACTTTCCAACCCTGCAATAAACTTTCCCTCATATAGAAACATTACGAACCTACAATAAGCTCACCGCTTCGTAAACCCTTAAACACCCTTAGTGTGTAAGAGAAAATGCTCCTGACCAAAATCGACAAGGAGCCTCTCTCAGGTTTATTCTCCAAAATAAACCTGTCTTTGACTGTTAAGGTCCTTTTCGTGTTTATTTCTTGTTTCTTAACCCTTACATACCCGAAGTCAGGGTGTTTTGGCAAGAGTGTCCCACTGAACTTGGAAACAGTTTTTGTGGTTTGTTTGGATTTTTTTTTTGTTTGCAATGGAGAAGAGGACTGGAAATAGGAGCTAAGAAAGATGTGAATCGTGTATCAGAGTTTGTCTTCATTGTTAGAATCCTAGAAATTGTGGCCTGACAATAAATGGAGCCTTGGAAGGTGATCTAAGGCTGTAGAAGTTGAAAGGGGGAGATGAAGATCCTCCTGAGAAAGTTGTGTCTGTGAACAAGCTCAGTAGAATGGAAAATCCAGTTCTGTAATAGAGTTGCTGGAGCTCTATCTGCCTTTAACTATTAGTGAATTTACTGTATAAAAATGGAACCAGACAAAGTAGGTGGCCAAAAGAGGGGAGAGGAATATCAGAAACTACCTTCTCTTTCAGTGTGTCTCAAGTCCAGAGGAAGGTCCTTAAGAGACAGATAAAAATAACTTAGGTGGCCAGGTGTGGTGGCTCACGCCTGTAATCGCAGCACTTTGGGAGGCCGAGGTGGGCGGATCACGAGGTCAGGAGATTGAGACCATCCTAGCTAAGACAGTGAAACCCTGTCTCTACTAAAAATACAAAAAAAAAAAAAAAAATTAGCTGGGCGTGGTGGTGGGCGCCTGTAGTCCCAGCCACTCGGGAGGCTGAGGCAGGAGAATGGCGTGAACTTGGGAAGTGGAGTTTGCAGTGAGCCAAGATCGCGCCATTGCACTCCAGCCTGGGCGACAGAGCAAAACTCTGTCTCAGAAAAAAAAAAAAAGAAGAACTTAGGCCGAGGAGAGGAGGACAGTCAGGCTTCTAGCACTGTAGTTAAAGATGTTTCACTGGTAGTCAGTATTGAGTGGACCTGAAGTCTTTGGAAGGATCCATGGGGATCAGAAATAGAAGTGACTTCCTCACGCGCTGAACAAAATGAAAAAGTTCTGAAAGTGACCAGAATGCCTTCAAATGCAGCAGTGGCACCACCCTTAAAAGACCATTACACTACATCTTGACAGTTAAGCACGTTAATTTTCCACATTTATGATTACAATATGTTTCCAAGGCTGTGCATGGTGGCTCACACCTGTAATCCCAACACTTTGGGAGGCCAAGGTGAGAGGATCACTTGAGCTCAGGAGCTTGAGACTGACCAGACTGGGCAACGTGATGCAACTCTGTCTCTACAAAAATACAAAAAATTAGTTGAGTGTGGTGGCATGTGCCTGTAATCCTAGCTACTGGAGTGGGGCTGAGGTGGGAGGATCACTTGAGCCTAGGAGGTCAAGGCTGCAGTGAGCTGAGATCACACCACTGCATTCCAGCAGCCTGGTCAACAGAGTGAAACCCTGACTCTCTCTTTCTGTGTATAAAAATATGTTTACAAATTTGCAGTTGCCTAACCAGCAATTCCACTTGCAGGAATTTATGCCAAGAAATATTTGGACACATGTCCACATACAAAAATCTTTGTCACAGCATTGTTTTTAGGTTGGTGTAAAAGTAATTGTGGTTTATAATAATGGTGAGAAGTTGGGGAAGAAAATCTAAATTTCCAACAATAAGAGATTGGTTAAATTACTGTATATTTATTGCTGGAAATTGTTGATAGTAACAGCAGTATATGTCATAAATCAATTTATATAAAATTAGTGTGTCCCTAGCTCCTCATACACAAATATTTGTTGATCACATGAAGAATAATTTCTAAAGAAAGGATGTGAAGCTCTCCTAGGCCTGCCCTCCTCGTAACTCACCAGTTTTTATCTAGCACACAACCGCAGCCATACTGAAGCCTCTTACTTCTTTCTGCTTACCGTGCTCTCTCCCGTTGCAGGGCCTTTGGATTTACTGTGTTGGGCACATCTTCCCTTCTGGTTTCTCCAAATTAATTTCTGTGTGTTCATTCTCATTTCAGTAGTCACTTCCTCACAACAGTCGGATAAGAGACCTTCATAACCAGATCTTATCTCCCTGTTACACATGTACCTCTCCTTTATAGCATTGATCCCAGTTACAGCTTCACATATATTTGTATCATTACTTAATTAAGGTCTGTCTCCCCCAGTAGACTGTAAACTCCATGAGACAAGAGCTGTGTCTGTTTTTGCACATCATTATATCTCCAGCAAGAGCATGAAGCCCTTTATGTGTTAGGTGCTCAGTAAATGTTATTTAATTAATGAATGGAATATGTGAAAATACTAATAGTAGTATTATCTGTAGGCAGTGGTATTGCTGGTGTTTTTTTCTTATATGTGTATTTTATATGCATTTTCTAATAGGTAGACATTATATATATATACTATGTATTCATGAAAAAGTTGGGCCAGGCGTGGTGGCTCACACCTGTAATCCCAGCACTTTGGGAGGCTGAGGCAGGTGGATCACCTGAGGTCAGGAGTTCGAGACTGGCTTGCTCAACATGGCAAAACCCCATCTCTACTAAAAATACAAAAAATTAGCTAGACGTGGTGTCAGGCACCTGTAATCTCAGGTTCTTGGGAAGCTGAGGCAGGAGAATGGCTTGAACCCAGGAGGTGGAGGTCGCAGTGAGCCGAGATTATGCCATTGCACTCCAGCCTGGGCGACAGAGTGACACTCTGTCTCAAAAAAAAAAAAAAAGTTCTGGAAATGAACACATATTTATTGATAAAACCATTTATTTTGACAGCATGGGAGATCATGAATGAGCAGGAACACTTCTACAGTGCTGTGGGCTGTGCATTCTTCTGAATAGTATTCCACATATTATAACTCATTTCCTCCTCAAAATAATCCTGCTCAGTAGCATCTTCATCCTTATTTACAGACGAGGAATCTGAGGCACAGGGAGGTTAAGTAATTTGCCTGAGGACACCTGGCTAGTAAAGTGGCAAGACCTGGATTCAAATACAGGCAGTTTCATTCTAGCATCTGTGCCTTTAACCACTGCACCTCATCATCCAGTCTCTGTTCTGGCTGTCACTGCAGTCTGGCTAGACTAGAATACAGGAAACACAATAATTTTTAAGTCATATGTAACTCACTCCTAAATTAGCCAATGGGAGGGCAACCTGGTGAAGAGCAAAGTCAGTGATGGGGAGGCTTCAGGTGTGTTCACAGGCCCTGAGGGGAATGACTGGATGGAGGGTGAATAATACAGGGGATGAGTAATAGGAAGGAGGAGGAAATAGGTTGTCTGAATACTCTGGTGACAAATAACAGATCTTGAGAGTTTTTATTTGTTCTGGTAAATAGTGATTATCTAAAGGATTCAGCATGCTTTGCCGGGAAGCAGCATCTGTGAAATGGAGTCTGACTGCCTATAACGGATGTAAGATAAATGTAAAATATCCCAAGATTCTTGTAGCAATATGTTAATCCTCACGAATTTGCTCACAGGAAGTAGAAAAGGCATCACTTATCAAAGCATTTTTTTTGTGGAAAGTCTAGTTTCACTGAAACAAAGTACCACCAGCTTTAACGTAACAGCACTTCTGTGGCAGCATTTCCACTGCTAAAAACTTCCAAGAGATTCTCACCTCCATCATTGATGCCTACACACCTCATCTGTGAGATCCTCTAGTTATGCTCCAATTCAGAGGAATTCAAGGGCCAACCTTCAAACTATTGTCCTATTTACTCTTTTCTCTGCCCTTTGGGTCTTCCTGATTTCCTTTACCTTCCACTCAGCAGGTTAAAAAAACAGTGCAATTCCAGTGTGGGTTGGACACAGGGATAGGCGTCCTAACTTCAAAGAGCTCACTCTAGGAAGGGAGATTGGAACATGTATCATTTATGGATGCAAGGAATATAGAGTACAAAGAGCCGGCCTGACGGCAGTACCAAAGGGGTTCAGTTCTCTTCTGTTGGTTTTTCTCTGGCTTCTATTCTTAAAATCTCATTTGCTATTATTCTTTTAAAAAATTATCTTAGTCTTCATTTCCACTCCTTCTCAGCTCTTCCCAAAATTATATTACTCAAAGTGAAAATAAACGAAGTTAACTGTGTTACTGTGTTAACTGTCTGCTGTATAAACCCGATAGCTGCTAGAGTAAACCAAAGGATAGTCAAGAAACCAACTAACACAGGTTTCTGGACACACCGCTGATCCTTCCAAACCTTATTTATTTATTTTTATTTTTATTTTTTGAGAC